CATGCTGTAATACTCAACTGCGTAACGTGACATTGTTAATTTTATTTATGGAAAAAGTAAACGATTAAGGTATTTATAAACTTGATAAGAAACGCAAATATTATTATCACTTACAATTAAGTCAAATGTTTCGTACTAATTTTAAAACAAACTGGATTGTCATAATGCTGCAGTGTACGCACAATGAGGAACACAATTAATTAAGAACTGGTTTTTTTGAAGCGGTAATTTCATTCAATGGCTTCTCCGGCCTTAAGTGTGGCGAGAGGAATTGTCAGACTCTTACTGACTAAAAACCACCCCATTCCTTCTCCCAGTCCGGGTCGGGGTCATTGTTCTTTAGTGCGCTTGCACCTATAATCCCTTCTCGACAACGGACCTAGTGAAACCTATTTGCAATGATCTGATGTTTACTCGCTGTAGAGATATTAATATATTGTTATACTAGCTTTTGTTCGCGACTTTGTTCGCGTGGAATAGTAACTTCCTGCAGATGTTTGGTTTTAAAACTACCCCATGTCTCTTTTCGAGTTCAAAACTATGTATGTAACAAATTTCACTCAAATAGGTTCAGTAGTTTAGACGTGAAGAAAAGACAGATAGACAGACAGAGTTACTTTCGCATTTATAATATTAGTTTGGATTTGGATATACCTAATGTGGTTAAGTTGATTTAGGGCTGATTTATCAATGGTTACATAAAAGTTATCTGGGGAATAATTATGATGCTGTCGCGTTAGCAATCAATGTGTATATAAGACAGTAACAGCAACAATTTTATTTCTCAGATAACATTTATCTACCTATTGAAAAATCAGCTCTTAGTTGCAAACGTGACATGCATCGTTGCATAAATGACATGCATCGTGCATTGTAAAAATTTTAACTGTTTGTCATGAAGTTTCATTTCTGTATAAGTATATATACTGAAATGCAACATCAAACAAACACAATTGCAAATAGAATGATATTAATTTAAAAGAAAAAAAAAATATTGGTTGCTTGTTTGCATTGAATAGGCTCCGAAACTACTTGACTGATTTGAATAATTCTTTCACTGCTAGGAAGCTACATTATCTCTGGTAAAACTACGGATGTAAAAGAGGCTCTGCTAGTTATTAATATCCTTACTGATGATTGGTTAAATGAACAAATAATACAGTGTTTATTTAAAAAGGCCAGCGGAGGCCCAATACCTCCTCCACCCTTATCCTATTCCCGATCATTATATCTGCAACCCCTATCCCCAAATGGCCGCCAACGCACTCGTAACTCCATTGGTGTTGCGGGTGTCCATGAGCGGCGTCGATTGCTTACCATCAGGTAATCCGTCTGCTCGTTTGCCGACTTATACAAAAATTACTTGCAAGGAGTTTTTTTTAGAATTTAATGGGATTTCCATTTAGCCTCCTCATTTCTGCACGCCGTTTTGGTACTTTATTCAAAACGTCCAGGAAAAAACTTAAATCTCATTGCACTGAATGTAGTGAATTTAAAGAGGAAAAGTTTAAACATGAAATTGTGACATATAAAGGTTAAATAATTGGAAAGGAGCTTGTGTAAAAATAAAAACTTTGATTGACCACTTAATCGTTATCAAGTAGGTTATACCAACGAGTATTTATAGAGAAAATGGATAATTCCGTACTTTAGAACAATGGTGACAATAATGTAACAATTATTATACGTATTATGTGGAAATCTCAAGGCAAATAGCGAAGGGCAGATAACATAGTTGCCTTAAAAATGTAATTTAATATTATTGTATTTTTTACCTTGATTGTATACTGAGAATGCCTCATTGGGCTAAAGGCCACGAGCATGATTGTAAGTTTGCTTTGTTTTTTGGAGTTCCGGACCGGTCAAAAGCGAGAACTCTTTAAATAAGACCTGACCTAATTAAGACTGTCACCAAACTGGATCCCATAATAAGTTATAGATCATTATCCTTATCATCGTGTGGCCTGGTGTTGGGGACGTGCTGGGACATGTCGTGGTGGCCTGGAGGTTAAGGAGCCCGCTTCTCATGCATGAGGGTGTGGGTTCGAAACCTGGCAAGTACCAATGTGATTTTTTCCGAGTTATATGTACTTTCTATGATTATTTAGACGCCACTGACATAAGGTGAAGGTAAACATCTTGAGGAAACCTGGACTTATAATTTCTAATTGTAAGTTTGAAATCGCCAATCCGCATTGAGCAAGCGTGGTGATTAATGCTCAAACCTTCTCCGTGTGAGAAGAGGCCTTTGCTCAGCAGTGGGCACTTATAGGCTGATGATGATGATGATCCTTATCATCATCAATAAGCAGCAGTAGTCTTCCACGTCGAAGGACAGCTCGCCACTTACATCCAGTGGCTCCCTGTGACTCTGACGATATCAGCGGTCCACCTGCTCACGCTACGTTTTCCGGTCCGTGGTTGCCACTCGAGTGCTATTCGGACCTGTCGGCTACTTCGGCCTGCAGATTTTACGAGCTATGTCGGGCTAACTGCTAACTTTGGTTTGCTAAGTGCTTAATAAATTGGCAGCAATGCAACGTGTCGCAAGTTGGATTCTTGCACGGAACAACACTTTGTGTATTCCACAAACTGTTGGTCAGTTCGGAGTTCTTTGTATATGTGAATTTGTTGACGTCACAGGAGAAAATATTACAAGTAAAAACTTGTGTGTCACTAAGCTATCGCATTGGCACCTGTACCTGATAGTTTAGTTTGTAATATAATAAATAAAAAAAAGGTTTAGTGTCCTACCATCCAAGTTCATAGTTCCAAGTTAGAGGCTACTAGATTAACGAAACAAAATAAAATAAACTTTAATAATAAAAGTGTCACATGTTATATTATACATATGTACCTACGTACATAGCCGACTATATACAGAGGTAGCATATACATATGTATAACTAGGTAGAAAGTATGCGGAACATTCGTGTACCAGTTTAAAGGCGTAACTTAAATGTAACTTGAGTCTTACTATATAAGTACAAGTAATTTAATATCTGTTAAAATTAGTTTGTCATTACGTTAACTATACTTGAATAAGGCTCCTTATGAGTCAGGGTTGCGAGTATAAATATAAATGTTCCGCAGTTTTGAAGGTGAAAAATCATCAAATAAGTTCCTATATAAGACTGAACACTCACAACACTTTTTTTATTTGATAGGTCGGCAAAAGAGCAGACGGATTACCTGATGGTAAGCAATTAGCGCCGCCCATGGACACTCGCAACAACAGAGCAGTTACGAGTGCGTTGTCGTCGTTGGAGATTTAAGGATCGGGGGAGGAAAAGGATTGGGCCTCCGGTAACCTAACTCACACGGCGAAACACAACACTGGTTGTTTCACACTGGTTTCTGTCTGTGAACCGCGCGGAACCTGACGTAATCCGCCACCTTCTTGGCGAGGATGACTGTTACATAAAAAGAGAAGACGGCTTCTCAGTTCCTCTCATCTCTCAAGGCCACCACAGGTAGGGCCAATGTCCAGCCTGTACTCAGTAAGACCTATATTATATCACGCCGGTCGAGCCACCCCATTTCTGCTGACGCAGAGAGGGTTTCTCGTACACTTGATTAAAAAACAGACAGATCTCTGCTTACAATGTTAAGTTATATTGATAGTAAGTAGGTACTTTAGTTTCACTTGCGTGTTCGTGTTACTAACAATTCAGTTATAGTTCTTAGTAACAATATAAGCGGATAATCCAAGATAATAGGTATCGAATCGTTTCATCAAATTGTACATACAATTTACAGAATCAAGCGATGATGATGAAACAACATATTGCAATACCATTGTATCTTTTTTAGCAAACATTTCGTTTACGTAATTATAAATGTTGTCAATAGACTACGACAGATGGGGGTTTGATACTTAAGATCAACAGCCATAATATCGCCAGTTAAAACGTCAACACCGACAGATGGGGCCCAACAGAGATAATGTTCAGCCAGGTTTGCGGGTAGAAGCGCAATAATATACCAATTAAGACCCCGGCGCAGAACAGGAGAAGGAACAGAAGGCCTACGATGGAGTGTTAAAGCGTCAGTCTTCCGGGCGAGAAAGAGGGATGGAGCTATACACATTTTATAGTTATATCCCTCTTTTTTGCCCGATGTTTTGCTTTACAGTGTTTTTTTAGTCAGTAAAAGTCTGTCACTCCTCTCGCCCCACGAAATCCCCAAGAATCAGAAATCATCAAATGATTTGACGCCCCCGAAATTTTTTACTGACCTCTTGTCAGTAACCTTTTGACGCCAATAGGCTACAAAAATGGTAAACTGTATACCTATATTACTACAATACATTATTATTAAAACCCAAAAAAAATTCTTGGTTATTTAATTTCTGACCATGTGACTTGCAAAGCAGTCGTGACAATAGATTTTTATCGACGCATGCAAATATAAATAAATAAAATTAATGTACCTAATCACATGAAAATGGCTCACATTACAATAGAATTCTTCATTTGTAATATTATAAAGCAGTAAGTTTATAATAACATCTTTATACTTAGTAAACATTACAATGTTGCGATTATGACGGTATTTATTTTGAAATTAATAATTAATGTATAAACATAATTTTAGGATACCTCCATTAAATAAAAAAATACACATACTTAACATATTATTTTGTTGAAAACAAATAAGTAATTTAAATTTTGACTAAAATATCTTCAAAAACCGACTTTGTTTACATAATTATAAATACGTAAACAAAATTTCTAAATACTCAAACACATGTTTAATGGTAAACAAACTTATTTCACTACCAATCCCTTTTAACGAATACACAAAATTAATTACATTAAAACTGAATTTAAACTGAAAAAAAAACAAACTCAAAGTCAAAACCAAACCAAAATAATTCAAACTACCACTCATCGCAAAAAAACGAAATGCAGAAAAAAACATCGTTGAATATAAAATTATTATGTAAATGGAATAAAACAAAACAATCTTGCCAAAAAATTGAACAAATTTCCACTAACCTGAACATTCGGTTCCATTGACCTTAAACCTGATGCGGTCCATGACTGTATCTGACGAGCCCATGTACCAAACTGACTGACGAAGTAATAAAGTAATCTGAAAGCACCACTACCTATATAAACTCTAAGTAAACATACGCGGACATTTTTTGAACGTGAACGCCACGTAGTCTTGCAAAGAACAAGGACCTCATATGCGGATTTAATGATATATACAAGTTCTATTTTTGAAAATATTATTTGAATTTGGAATGTAACAAACCGAACTTCAATCGGTTCATTCATTAAGTCAAAGTTAAGAACATTTCGTTCCGAATACTGCTTATGAAACGTCCAAAATAGAATAGTAGTCAGTCAGTCAGTCAGTCTGGTCGTCACCGAAGTTTGAATTGAGAAAGAAACCACAGCGTTTCTTTTTTTAAATTTATTTTTAAATTAGAAGTTACACTGCCACAGGCTATAGTAGTACCAGACATCTTTTTGCGGTTGTGGTTAAAATGTGTAACGTATAATGAGTAATCATAATTGCTATAATATCTGCATGAAGCAACTGTCACCTATTCTTTACAAATCGTCAATAGGACGTAAAAATATTCTAATTCTTTATGCAAACTATAATTGTCTGTAAGTAGTTTTAGTCAGTAAGAGTCTGATTCTTCCTCCTGACTCCCTAGGCGGGAGAAGTCATTTGATGATTTTTCCACCACAAAGAATAGAAACAGATTTTTTTGATGAAAATGTTTCACAGTTTGACCCGTCCCAGGAATTGTCGTCTTTAACAATACCATAAGTAAATTAAAAGTAATTGAACCGCATTCTTTTAACTTTCACAGTATAAATAATATTTATATAAGGAAGACTTTTTGTCTTTCCTTAGTCGTTAGATACATTGACATTTTGTGTCCATTAAACAAAAATAATTACTTTTAGACAAAGACAGATGACAAATGACCTTCAGAGACTTAGTGCAATTGCAAATATTTTGAATTAATGCATGTTTTTTAGATAGCCGAACGTGTATTACCTACGAGTCAGCGCCGTACGGAGTGATTCAGTAAAAAATGCATTGTAGTGTCACGTGTACTTATTATCTCTTTAGTATAATATAACAAAATATCGATTGTACGATTAGCACAAAGGCTGACCAACTGGCTAATCCACGACGTGTCGCGGATCCGATTCACAAATTGTTGTTCTGGGTCTGCGTGTCACCCACGACATAGAAGAAAATCCTAGTGTGGGAGAATGTGTCATGTAAAAAAGATATAAGTATCTATAGGAGTTTTTATCACAAAGTAATAAGAAGAAAATATACGAATAAATCTTGGACGAGAATTTTACGACGCGACGACCGCGCCAATGCAGTGACCGTGTGTTTTCAACAAACAAGATCTGGAACAATCACAGATTACATATAAAATTATAAACAGTTGAAGCTGTATGTATTAATAATAAAAATTAAATCAATAAAGTATATTTCCATTTTGAAAAATGTATTTAATTTTGTAGTTGATGCAAGCAAAGATTCCAAGAACCTGTTATAAGAAACAAAAAAAAAGATTCGAATTACGTAAGAGGTATAATAATATTTTTTTAGCTGTTATTGTCCAACGTTAGTAACGAAAAGTCCAAATATTTTTGTAATATGATTGTTTTACAGTCACAAAGGATTTTAAACCCTATTGCAAAGAGTTGATATGATTTTATTGAACGATTTAAGTGAAAGTGTTAATCACATTTCTAAGTGCGGGACGGAGCCGCTGTACATGCAGTATATGGTGCACTCAGCTATGTATAAGTATATGCATAAGTCGGAATGTATTTTAACTTTCTTTCTCAACCAGATCAAGGTCAGGTGATGGTTTTGAAAACGGTAATATTATATATTTTGTTTCACTACAGAATAATCTGGATCCTCATAGAAATGAAACTGGCTTCTTCCTGGATCACCATGATCTTTAGCCTGACTTTGTTCACTACAGGACCTGGACAGACCTTTGTAACACCACTGAGATCGATCTTCAGTTCTTATCACCCACCTTTTGGTGTCGTCACTCTTGGATATTAAAAAGCATTTTTTATTTAATTATATCTTCTTCGGATTCGACAATGAATCTACAATTATTTGTATACCAGTTCCAATATTATAGTGACTTCCAAATCATCATCAGCCTTTAAGTGCCCACTGCTGAGCAAAGGTCTCTTCTCATATGGAGAAGGTTAGAGCACTGATCACCACGCTTGCTCAATGCGGGTTGGCGATTTCAAACTTATAATTTGACATTATAAGTCCAGGTTTCCTCACCATGTTTTCCTTCGCCGTATGTCAGTGGTGTCTAAATAATCATAGAAAGTACATATAACTTGGAAATAGTTACATTGGTACTTGCCAGGTTTCGAACCCACACCCTCATGCATGAGAAGCGGGCTCCTTAACCTCCGGGCCACAACGACATGGCAAACTCGTTTAGCCACAAAAAAATATTAATAGGTAAATTATCATTGAGGTAGGTCGGCAAACGAACAGACGGATTACTTGATGGTAAGTAATCGACGCCACCCATGGACACCCGAGTAGTTAAAAGTTACTTTTTCGTCCTTTTGGGTATTGATTTTGGAGAATAATAGTTACGCCTCACCTCACTTATATGGCGAAACACGACAATGTGTTTTTTCACGCCATTTTTTGGTGAGGCCGTGGTATCGCTCCAATCGTGCCGGCCCATTCGTGCCAAAGCATCACCCATACCTAGGCATAAGAAATTCACAAGAATTCTAACACAGCTGGACCTAAGCTAGGCAAGCCTGCATATTGCGCACCAATGACGATTGATCACCACACACACATCTTCAGATTTTTGATTTTGATAATTCAACATTGTGTTTAAATAATACGGAATACCTTAGCATTCGAACTATCCATGAATCAGATATACTTAGATCATCATTATTAAATACAGATCAATATAGAAATGTCGTGTTCCAAATGACCTTAAAATACTAAAGAATTGTTTAAGAACAATCATCTACATACTGAGATAGACTATTCATTACTGAATGTATTTATTTACAATACAAAATACATTCTGAAGACGTTCTTTAGTAGTTCCATTTCCACCAACAAAATAAAGTTTACAATAGACAGAGACACATAAATACATACACATATTAGGTATACATACATAACTCCTACGTAGATACATACCGTCACTATTTATCTATAGTAACAACAATCAACCACACAACACAACAACCACAGCCCATCACAGATTCCGCCGTGGGATCTAGAAGCGAAGGCGCTTGCGCGCGTCTACAGCTTGCGCGCAGACGCGCGTCGCCGGGGCGAAGATCCTCTGCCGCGCCAAATTAGTGCGTGGCGGAATGAGCTCCGGCGAGATCTCATGGCAGAGTGGAAACAACGACTGTCGCAACCGAGGGCCGGGCACGCTACCATAGCAGCGGTAAGACCCCTCTTTGAGGAGTGGCTTGAGAGACGCCACGGCGCCCTCACCTTCCGTCTGACGCAGGTGCTTACCGGGCACGGCAGCTTCGGTAGGTTCCTGTTTCGGATCCAGCGGGAGGAAACGCCCGAGTGTCGTCATCACAGATTACCAGAGGCCCAATTCTTCTCCTCCTCAATCCCTAATCCGAAAAGGTCGGCAACACACTCGTAACTCCTCTGTTATTGTCCATGGGCGGCGCTGATTGCTTACCATCAGGTAATCCGACTGCTCGTTTGCCGTGCTATCATATAAAAAATACCTTTTAAAATATTTTCGAAATATTGAAAGCAAACACAGGTCCACGTTTCTTTTTTGTAATGTAAGTCATCAAGTGGCTTCTCCCACCAATGGTGATGTCATACCTTATATTATGGAGTTTCTTTCTCGTTATTCTCAATTCAAAACTACAGTTTGGATCGAGCACCTAGCTTCACTAACGAGCGGATTGACTAAATATCATTCTATTTTGAAGTTGTAAGCCTATCTATCGGTTTGTGGTTGTTTTGGCATAAATGATTTTGACTTTCACTTACTGACTAAAAACCAACCCGTTCCATCTTTTAATCCGGACGAACCACCGTACATTATTGCGCTTGCTCCCAAGCAGGAAGGTACATATTGAAACTTCCTAGTCCTATTCCCATCTATAATAGCGAGTAAGCCAAGTAGGACCAGTGACTTTAGCTGTTAAAAATCGAACGACCAATGGTGTCTTCTTCTAGGACCTTTACTTCACTTCCGAAGGTCGTGACCTTGAAGGCTTTCATTGCATTTGGTGTTACAAATGGTGGGACACTATCTAATTCCTTATTGGACGAACAAACGACATTAACCACATTAATTTGATGAGGAAAGAATGGGTCATCCATTTTCCTAATTTTATTTGATTATTAGTAAATTTGCTAAAAAACCCAAAATATTTCTATTAACTAATTGCTTTGGAAATTGACTCCAAGAGTAAATGCTCGACAGGTGCACTGGCATCACTGGCTCGACGGTTGAACCATAAGAACATTTTACAATATATATAGATACCTACCGGATATATATAGTATACTATTGAAATGACAAATAAAACAGTCGTATCAAAAGCGCAATGACGATTGTGAAGGTCAGGGGTTCGAATTTGAATAGCGTAGGTCCGGTTATTGTGACGTGATATTGGATAGACATCATAGAAGTGAGGGACTAAACCTAGGCTAACCTTAGCAAAATTGACCTTGGATAGTGACCGCTTTGAACCAAGATTGAAGTGAAGGAAAGCCATGGTTCGGCACGAATGGGCGGGTTCGACCGGAGTGATACCACGGCCTCATAGAATACTTTCGTGAAACAACACTTACGTTGTGTTTCGCCGTGTGAATGAGGTTACCGGAGGACCTATTCTTCCCCCTCCCCATGTTTAATCTCGAAATCCCCTTACAGTAAATCCGTAATAACCTACAAAATAACGCACTTTTAACAAACCTGTAGCAACACTCATTGCTACCTGATGGTATCAGGTAATCCGTTAGCTCGTTTGCCGAAAAATTTCATAAAAAAAAGATTTGAGAGAA